GATTCTTCAGACTTTTTTCTCCGGTGATTGGTTAGGTCTCTTCATATCCACAGTGTCCTTCTTTCTTTAGTGTGTTTTAACAGGTGTTGAGTTTACACACTGATCTTGCATATAGTAAATGGTGTTGGCTTTTGACTTTTATGTTGAGGTTTTACAGGGTGCAAATATGGCTTGGCTATATGGCCAAACTTGCTGTAGCTTGTTAGGTAAGGCAGGAATAAAAGCTCCTACTCAAGTAGGAGAGCCAACTTCTGAGCTAAGTCCCACAATCAGAGTCATAAAAACCCACTTGAGGAGTAGCCTCTGGACTTTCAGCTGGGAAATTTCAACTTTGCGCCATTGGAAAAATTGTACCCTGTTTGCACAACACCAGACCCTTTTGGGGATGCACTTCCACCTGCGTGAAGACACCTGCGCTTGGCATAAAGGGTGTGACAGGGTGGGGCACAGGAGTCGAAGGAAAAATAGCAAAAGAAGGGGAAAAATATCACACCTGTTTTTCCATGTCACTGGGTGGTTTTCACTCCCTAGCTGCTGGCTATGGCCCTGCCCTCTGACCTCTGCCAAGTTTAGGGGTTGGAGGCAGAGTCCAGATTGTTTCAGAAATCTCTAGGTTCCTTCTTGCTCCATTAGATTTCTCCGCCGGCACTCCCCTGAAACTATTTCTCCTTACTTTATATTTAAAGCTCCGGGATTGTCCCGGCAGAACATTTTTTCTGGCTTTTCCATGCTTCTTCCACTCCATGGTTTTTTTGCCCTAAACAACTGAAAGTATTGAGTTGCTATCAAAACTAGTAGTTTGGAAAGAAAGATAAGGACTTCCATTTTGAACACTGTTTACTATGTGTATTATATCAGAATGAACATTTTTATATATCTAATAGACAGCCATGTTAAGATGTTGGTAGAAATTGGATGTGACTGTTAAGTTTAGCAGAGGTGTCTGGAAAAATATATAAAATTTTAGACTCATCAGTAATTATTTAAATGCTATTTAAAGCATAGGACTAAATGAGATCACCAAGAAGTCAATGTAGATAGGGAATATATCCAAGTTCTGAAACTTGGGCCACTCTCAGGGTAAGAGATGAAGAAAAAGAAAAATCAACAAAGAAGACTGAAAAGAGTAGTTAGTGAAGCAGGAGAAAAGCTTCAGGGGTTGTGTCCCTGAAACTAAGTGAAATAATTGATCTAGAAGGAGAAAGTTTGATGCAATAGTGGTATTGGACTTAGCTGTATATAGGCTATTGGTGTCCTTGACAGATACAGTTGTTTGGTTTTGCTTTTTGAAGTGGTGGGAATAAAAGCCAAATTGGTGATAACAAAGGTAGTCAATATTATTTGTAAGTTCCTCAAGTACAGGTTGGTTGAGATTTGTTATCACTAGAATATGTGTGGAAGACTAGTAATATATTGAGAACAGGTACTATATGAGAGACATGATGCTTGATATTTTGTATAGATTTTATCTGAATTCATTTGTCTAGTGCTGGGACTCCTGGTGTGGTGCTGCAGGTTAATACGCCGGACTGAAAAGTCGGTTTGAACTGCAAGGTCTGTGGTTCAAGCTCACCAGCCACTCCTCAGAAACCCTATACAGGGTTACTATGGGTTGGAACTAATGGCACTTAACAACAACAACTAAAACTGTGAATGGGTGATTTTAAAGAATAGATCTTTATTTTCTCACAGTTCTGGAGGCTAAAAGTCCAAATCATGATTTTGGTCCTGGCAATTCCTTCCTTGCTGATTGCCCAGACATTCCTAGGTTCTTGAGGATCCTTAAATAGTTTCTGTCTTCTCCAGTATGTTCCCCTGTCAGTGTCTAATCTGCTCTTTTTATAACTCAGAAGTGATTAAGTTTAGAATACTCCCTACACTAATTAACACAACAAAATAACTATTTCCAAACAGGATTATATCCATATAATTAGGATTGGATATAGGATATATTCTAGGAGGACATGATAATTTTTAAAACATATAGTTGCTCTGCCATAAATAGTTAAGTACATACCTATTCCTTTCTCTTTCTCTTTAGTTTTCTACCAATGTTTTTACTTACCATTCTGTGTTGAAATTTCATGTACCCTTTGTTGTTATCTCATTTTTTGTTTACTAGTAAATATTTGAGATTATAACCCTCTTTTCATCTTTATGCCATAGTTTTCCACATGTATCCATTGACATAAGATGATAAATTCAAATTAAAATTTCCCTCCTGTTCCCCAAGTAGCCTTACACATTTATCAGTAGACCTTATTTGTTTTGGAACAGAACTCCTTAGATGAAGCTCGACAGAAGATCTTCAATGTCCGGGAGGAATACAGAAACAAGTTGCTGGAAGCTGAGCGCTTAAGGTTGGAAACACTCACTGCTGAGGAATCGCGAATTAGGATAGAGTCAGAGAAGAAGACTCCTGCCTCTGACACACAGAAAAAAAACAAAGGGAAGAAAAAGTAACCATAAGATACTCAATACTACCTTTCTTCTGGAGAGGAGAATTAAAAAAAACAAACAAAACTTATCTATACAATAAAATATAAAGCCAATCTACAGTATAAGTTTTCTTATCTTAAAAATTATTTCCATATTTTAATCTTAGAAATTGTTTCTGTATTTTAGTGCATATTCTTTTTTCTCAGAAAACTGTTAATTAGAGAGTTTTAGATGTTCTCACTTCAACAGAACTTACATCAAAATATTTGCAATTTGGTCTGACTTGTGTGCATTTTGTATTGATCAGAAATGAGGCAACAGAATTGCTCTTGAATCATTCAGCAACAATGGGGGGAAAAATAGCAATTGGGGTGAAAGTTAATTTTGTCTTGATTTTAAATATTTTAAGATATTAAAAAATATGCTTCAAGTTGTGTCTTTTTATTTTTTTTTAACTGAACTTAATAAATGTTTGTCATTGGACAAAAGCTATTCTCTTAGGCCTACCTAGCAAGAGTGTAAGTATCCTGAATTGGAGTAATGAGTCATAGTATCACATTCATGGAGGATACAATCATAAACAAACCCCAGGTTGTTTGTACCCACATCAAGTCTTGTATTAATCAGGCAAAATGTTATTGGACAAACTTTTCAAAATAATGTAATGAGTAGATTTAATGAGGCACATAGTTGGAAATTGAATTCCACAAAAAAATCACAATTCTAATTCATGGCTTTCTTAGATTAAAAGCTTGTAGTTTTTGTTTTAATTTATTTTGTTGCTGAAAATATTCACAGCAGAACAAACACCAATTCTAAAAATTCTACAAGTACTACTAGTAGACACTGAATATTTCTTCTTTTCAAATTATTCCTCCCCATAAACATAAGCTCACTGCTCCTATGCTTCCCATCTGAACTTTCAAGTTGCTATAGCCAGTTTGATGCCGTATAGATAATTTAAAAGTGCACAATGCTAATAGCCTCTGTATATTTTTGTTGTGAAGTGCCGTAGAGTTGGTTCCAACCCATAGAGACACTGCACAGGGTTTCCGAGGAGCAGCTGGTGAGCTTGAACTGCCGATCTTGCAGTTCAAATGGCTTTGCAGTCTGGTGCATTAACCCACAGCGCCACACCTGGACTCCTCTGTATATTAGTATATCTAAAAAATGTCTGTATGTAAATTTAGGATGAATATGTATAATTTTTCCTCACTTAAGACATCCTTAACTTGTAACCTGACCCAGTGGCAGTAAGATCAGGTTTAGAGGAGATGCTTCTGGGCTCCTCACTTGCTTGTGAATAAATGGGAGTTTCACTTACTCAAAGACAAGTGTCTAGAATATTGCCTTTCATGCATGCCAAACACTGTCCCACTGAGCATACCATTGCCATGTAGAAGAGTTGTATAAATGCTGCTGAGAAGCTAAAGATAGTAATGTCTGTGGATCATAGTTAACAGCTCTATGGTAATACCTTATCATATAAATACCCTACATTGCATTGATTGGGTTAATCAAGGTATGCTATAAAACATGTCTTAGTCTCTACAGTTACTAGGTCATTGTTTTGAAAAAGAACCTAGCCTCCCATTCCATTTTCCCCTTCTTCATTTCCTACCATCTATCTCTTTACAGACCCAAAGCAAGTCAAGTTCAACCCCTTCTTTCTCTGGGACTTTGGGAAAGGCAGAAAAGACAGTTGTACTTTTGTCTAGTCATAGGCCTGCCTCTGAGTCTACAGCAGTAATCCCTAGACTATAACTCTTGTGATGATAAAGCTTCATTATGTAGAACATAATGCTAAAAGTGCTGAAAGTGAAGAGGACTTAAAACATTTATTGATGAAGATCAAAGAGCACAGCCTTCGATATGGATTACATCTCAATGTCAAGAAAACAAAAATCCTCACCACTGGACCAATAAACAACATTCTTATCAATGGAGAAAAGATTGATGTTGTCAAGGACTTCATTCTTCTTGGATCAACTATCAACACTCACAGTAGCAGCAGTCAAGAGATCAGACAATGTATTGCATTGGGCAAATCTGCTGCACAGGAACTTTTTAAAGTATTGAAGAGCAGAGATGTCAGCTTGAGGACTAAGGTGCGCCTGACCCAGGCCATTGTGTTTTCAATAGCCTCATATGGATGCGAAAGCTGGACAGTGAATAAGGGAGATAGTAGAAGAATTGATGCCTTTGAGTTGTGGTGTTGGAGGAGAATACTGAAAGTGCCATGGACTGCCCAAAGAACCAACAGATCTGTTTTGGAAGAAGTGCAGCCAGAGTGCTCCTTGGAGACCAGGATAGCTAAGCTTCGTCTCTCATACTTTGGACATATTGTCTGGAGGAAACAGTCGCTGGAGAAGGATGTCATGCTGGGTAAGGTGGAGGGTCAGAGAAAAAGAGGAAGACCCCCAACGAGATGGATTGACCAGGTGGTATCATTGATGGACTCAAGTGTGGCAGCGGTAGTGAGGTTGGCCCAGGATCGGACATAGTTTCGTTCTGCTGTGCATGGGGTAGCTACGAGTCGGTTCCAACTCGATGGCACCTGACAACAAAAAATGTAGAACAATTTACCTCCTCAATGCTTCAAACACCTCCACTGAAGAACAAAACTGTAACTTTTCCTTTTGCGTAATCAGTGTGCCCACAAAAGTGCATTTTCAAATTAACTATAAAGAACTGGCTTTGTTTAATGAATCAGATAAGTACAGACAGATTCAATCATGTATTTAAGTGACTTCTAGACATCACATTTCTGGAACCCTGGTGACATAGTGAGTTATGCATTGGACTGTTAACAAGGTGGATGGTTCGAATCTGGCAGCCACTCTGTCTGTGAGAGAAAGCTGAGTTTTTCTGCTCCCATAGAAATTACAGTCTCAGAACATCTATACAAGGTCTCTATGAGTCAGAATCAAATCAATGGCAAACAACAACAAACATCACATTTAGAAAACAAACAAAATTGAATTCTAGACTCTGTTAGAGTCAGTCACTATACAAGGGAGCTTCCAAAGTTTTTGGAAAAAATTCTATTTTACACTTTCACACAAACTTTTTGAAGACCCCTCATATGTAGATTATTTTTGTGCAAAATGTGGTAAGTTAACTACATATAATATGCTAACTATATTTCCTTGGTGTTATCTGTCTCATTCAAAACAAACCCTCATATCCACTGTCTCTTAAAAAATAGGAAAAGAGAGGGAGCAGTGACACAAAATACCAGGTAGGAATCGAAGTGGTCTCAGAAAAGAAGTCATGTGCCTGCTTCTACTACCACCAGGCTAGGGTTGTGTCCTAGGTAGCTTTATTTATACTAGATTAATAAGGGTTTTGGAGTCCTAGTGTGGCACTGTGGACTAATGCATCAGAATGCAAAGTCGTTTGAATTGCAAGGTCTGTGGTTCAAGCTCACCAGCTGCTTCTTGGAAACCCTATAAAGGGACACTATGGGTCGGAATCGACTCGACGGCACTTAACAACAACAATAAGGGCTTTGAGCCACCTTTGCAGAGCAGTTCTGATGTGAACATGATGAAGAAAACTTATTTTAAGCTATTGTTTTAAAGTTTGCTGTTTGATCAGTAATAAAACAAATTGTGTTCATTTTAACTCAAAAAGTTTCCAATCACAAACACATCTTCATGATGAAGTTTTGCTGCATATTAAAGTATTTTTATGTGCTTAGAACTCAAAGTTAAGCCTAAACATCCTGGGTTTTTACATTTCATTATGGGCACATTTGGCAGGACAACCAAACATCATGATTTATTTATGATGTAAATCTATATAGCAAATCAATCATCATATATATTGTCTCATAACTTGAAAAGACCCTAACTTTACTGGGCTGCTAACTGCAAAGTCAGTGGTTCAAACTCACCAGATACTCCTCTAAAATCCTCCACAGCGTCGCTATGAGTCAAAATCAACTTGAAGACATTAAAAACAACCTTACTCAGATAAAAATATTTAATTCATTTTGTTTGTTTTAAAAAGTCACTGATCAGGCTTCTGGTTTAGGTAGAAAGGAGAGACAGCCAGGTAGGAAAGGCTCTGTTGGGGAGGGATTGAAAACCCAAAGAAACTCCGCTCACAGCACACCACCAGAGCTCTGGATCTAGCATAAGATACAGGGCATCAGTTTCTCACACTGCAAGTTAAAAAATCAGGATATAAAGGAAAATACTGTGAGTTAGGAAATGCTTGAGACAGGACTTCCTTTGTGGCTACTCACAAGGGTGGAGTTCAGAGGGCGGGGCTACAGCCAGACCAGCACAGGGAACCAGTACTAAAAGCAACGCAGTGACATTTGCTCAAGGAGGTATGGAGAATTCTATACATTTTTTCCTCCTTTTCTGTGTTGGCCTTCTTTGCCCAGCCTGGGCACCTTCAGGTGGGTGGGTGTGCACCCCACCCACCGCAAAAAAAAAAAAAAAAAAAAAAGTCCAATGCTGAGCCCATAGTTTTCATACAGCACAGAAAGAAAGAGCTTGGTGCCTGTTTATGATGTCAGCCTTTGGGTCCCAGCCCTAAAGTAACTTGTGCTGGACCCTTTACTATACAGCAAGAAAAAACCTGGTCTGGCCTGCAGACAAACTGTATGAACAATCTGTAAGTCCCCAATATAAAAGAATACTACTATCTCAAGAATTATGCTGTGCACCCACAGATACCTAACTGACCTTCAGAGACAAAAATATTGGACAATCTTTCTCCCATTAACTTCTCAATATCTGTCTGTGAACCTCGATGATGGTGACTAGAGGAAGGGCCTGAGTGAGTGGATTCCCACACCCACTGCTGGAGGCTTCTACGATGCACACCACTGCCTGTGTAGAAAGGCAACAGGACACTCAGCCACAGTTTTATTTTTGTTTCAAAGTGATGGTTCTTTTCTCTGCTTTTATATTGCTTCTGATTTTGGTCCTTTTGATCACACATTTTCCTTGGTGGTAGAAGCTTTTTCTCCCTACATTACCAAAGAAGAGACAGCAATCATGGCCACA